GTTTAAGGATTTAAGGGTTTGGGGTGTAAGGGTTTAAGGATTTGAGGTTTAAGGGTTTAAGGGTTTACGGTTTAACAGCTTAAGGGTGTAGGGTTTAACCGTTTAAGGGTTTAGGGTTAAAGGGTTTAGGGTTAAAGGGTTTAGGGTTAAAGGGTTTAGGGTGTAAGGGTCTAGGGTTCAAGGGTTTAGGGTTTAAGGTTTTAGGGTATAAGGGTTTAGGGTTTAAGGATTTAACGGTTTAGGGTGTAAGGGTTTAAGGATTTGAGGGTTTAAGGGTTTAAGGGTTTAGGGTTTCACAGTTTAAGGGTGTAGGGTTTAACCGTTTAAGGGTTTAGGGTTAAAGGTTTTAGGGTTAAAGGGGTTTAGGGTTAAAGGGTTTAGGGTTAAAGGGTTTAGGGTTCACGGGTTTAGCGTTTAAGGTTTTAGGGTATAAGGGTTTAGGGTTTAAGGATTTAACGGTTTAGGGTTTAAGGGTTTAGGGTTTTAACAGTTTAAGGGTTTAGGGTTTAAGGGTTTAGGTTTTAAGGGTCTAGGGCTTGAGGGTTTAGGGTGAAAGGGTTTAGGGTTTAAGGGTTTAGGGTTGAAGGATTTAAGGGCTTAGGGTTTAAGGGTTCAAGGGTTTAGGATTTAACAGTTTAAGGGTTTAGGGTTTAACAGTTTAAGGTGTAACCTACCCCCCCAAGGTATTGACTGGGGTCTTGCCATTTTAATCTCATGCTCACGCCATCTCTACTAGCATCAGAGAGCTAGTCCCCTAGTATGATCCTTCAACTCGCACTTTCTGCAACGACTAAACTTAAGTGTCCCTGGCTCAGAAACGGCGACTCTCTCGTCATACCTGCTCCTGTTCGCTGATCCGCTTCGTATGATCCGTGGAGCTGATCCGGCTTGCTGATCCGATTCGTGTGATCCCACTCGACCCTGTCCTGATCCGATACGTCGGGCCCCCCTGATCCAGCTCCCACCACGTACTGATCTGTTACATTTGAGCTGATTCGTGGGTCTACCTTATGGAGCTTGAGCGCTGTCATTCTGATCAATTTCGGCTTGGAGAGGTCTATTAGGGGAGCCAGATAGTGAGCTACAAGCTCTAAACCCCTGACCCTGAAACATAACCTTCTAAGCCCCAAGGTCTAAACCTCAAACCCTAAACCTCGAACCGGTGCGAAGGTGAAGATTCTGCGCTTTCTGGGTTCCAGCAAACATGCCTCATTGTGGCCTCCTTCCTCATGCAGGCCTTCGGAGATTATATATCGGGGTAATGGGGATATAGGTTTAGGGTTTAGGGTTGAAGGTTTAGGATATAGTGGGAAGATTGGAAAGAAAATGGAAACTACTGTGTTACTGTTTAGGGTTTAGCGCTTGGGGGTTCCCAAAATTAGAGGTACCATTTTGGGGTTCCCAGTAGTAAGGATCACAGTATTTTGGGCTCCACATTTGGGTCCCCCTGTGTTGGGACATTATCATGCACACACATATGTGTATATGTATGTGCCACATGACCCTAAACGGCAAAGGTCCGTCTCATATACACACATGTATATATGTATATATATACATGTGTGCCGGTTGAAAAGGGATATAGGGCTTGGGGTGTAATGCATTGGGATCTGTATTGGGTTCCGCCCCATTCATGGAAACTCCTATTTGGTGATGCAGATGTTCAAGGGCGCGGCAATTTAGGGCTGTGGGTCTAGGGGTTTAGGGAACAAAGAAGTAGCCCTAAGCCCTAAATCCGGTCTAGGTTTTGCAGACAATAGGGTGCAAGTCTGAAGGTGTAGGCGTTTAAGGCGTAGTCTCTTGAATTTTAGGATTTGGGCCTTCCCATCGCCTGCCTAAAAAAAAGGGGTTGGGTTTAGGCGTACCTGCATCTCTTGCGCATATCACTTCCCTAAACAATGAATATGCTTGACCTTCCAATGTTTGGATCCTGTTGCTTAGCCCTACCACAAAACGAAAAAAACCCCGAGAACTTACCACAAAAGAGGCTACATAGTTAAATAAGTATTGAAACACAGTGTCCCAGGGTTCAAGCCGAGTAGAGGCCAAGTAGTCTGCTAACAAAACAGTTCCGCAGTTCGCTACTTCCAAGAAGGTTGACCCACTGCTTCGCCGCAACTAGATTCTGACTGCTTGGGTGCAGGACTCTATGAGTAGGAGAAGGATTCAAGAGAAGCTGGTCGAAATGAGTCGAAAACTAAGACAGAGATATCATGTTCAACAGACGGTTCGACATGAACTATGCCTGTATGCAGAAAATCACAGTGAATGGACGGGCATCATGTCAGAATGACCTGTGTCGAAAAGGAGTGCAGGTTGTTCGGCCTGAGGTGGTAGTCCAAGATAGTGTTTACGGATGAGTGTTAATGTAGTCACATAATACAGTAGTACAGCAGAGTAATATCATAGGGATTTGGATATCCAAAGATTTCCTCCTATATGCCGCCTGGCTCCACAAAAGCTCCAAGAAAGGGGTTCACATGGGAATTTCTAAAGCATTCTAAGGAATCCTGAAGAGGGACACCCGTACGTAGCCCTTTGTCATGCTTATGCGTCTCCATGATCCCAATGTCCCCTCATCCTTTTTGGGAGGCACGAGAGAGGCTTAGAGAACACACCATCGCCTCCTCATACCACATTGGTCTGATGGAAACATATGCTGGGGGACAAGATTCGTGATACACTGGGACTACGTGGCTAGGCGAAGGAAAACAAGAGAACAGCCTGCATCAAGCATTTGTACCTCTGGCTTTGGGAAGGTCGTAGTTCTGGGCATGTTCTACTCCTATGGCACACTCTTCGCAGCGCTGAAGGCAGACACAGGCCGCTGGGCGCTCGCTTGAAGACAAAGGGTTGTAGATTTTTGGTGTATGGTGTGGACCCCTGAAGGAAGAACCATCCCTTGTTTGGCAAGCTTCTTATGTGGATGATGCCTTTATTCTGGGCATGTATAGAGGAACCTCAGTTTGGCGTATGTCCTGACAGGCAGGCAAAACTCCCTTTTCAGCTCGCGGCGCGCGGTTCTTTGCCAGAGTCACCATCACATATTCTGCTAAGAGGGAAAGTTTTCATATGAGCCATAGCCAAATTGCCAAGTATCCAAATCACCCTTATAATGCTCCCCTATATAACCAACCCTCTTTAAGGAGTTTGCAGTACAGCTCATATCAGAGTGCCTCTCTTTCCTTATCTGTTCTGGGGGCCCATACCGCTGCACTTGGATCCCAGGACATCCTTAAGTCCAGATGCCTCCTGAGTCCATGAGATTATAGTCCCCCTTAAGTAGATAGAATATGGCTTTGGGCATATCATATTAAGATCCCTATATATCCCATATTCTATCTACTTAAGGGGGACTATATCCCCACATATTGAGAAGCTAGGTTTAGGTTCATCCTGTCATGATACTTACTTGCAATCTACTTGTAGTAAGCCCCCCCTATCATTCTGGAAAACTGTAGGTACTGGCGGCTACAGGTACACCCCAAATCCCACTCACCTTAGTAGTTTCATGGAGTTACCATATACTTTTCCTTGTCCATGACACATTGTATACCCTAAACCCTAAACCCGAAATCTCGCGAATCCTAAGCTCGCAGGTGATGCGGCTAGCACCCTGGCACTCGTTGGGTCCATGCGCGACTTCATATTTGGCCTAAGCAACGCCCCAGCCGGGTTCCGCTGCTGAAAGGTGTAGGTGGCTTTGGGGTTCCCGTTGCAGTTGCAGGTTTTGGGGTGTAGGGCTTTGCTGCAGCCAGATTCCCTCCTCCCCAACACTAAACACCCACCCCGGACATGTCAAACATTTCCTATCGTAGCCCAAACTGGTGGGCCCAGTGCCTGAGGGAGATTTTAGATCATATGAGCTTTAGTCTAAACTCCTAGTATCCCCCTTAGTACCCCCATAGTAATCCTTTAATTATAGAACCCTCTTTTAGGAGTTTAGACTATAGATCATATAATAGCTGCTGTCCAGGTTCCTCGTGCGTCGTGTGGGCTTCGTGCGGATGCCGGCCATCGGGGCATCTTGGGTTTGCAATGGCGAACCGTTACCTCCTTGGGAGTAAGAAAACTATAGTTCCCCGTAAGTAGAATATGGGGTATTTGGGGATCTTATTATAGATATACGTATAAATATGCCAGAGCCATATTGTAACTACTTAAGGGGGAATATAGCTAGGCAAGAATGAGGGTTGTGACCAGTTAACATCCTGTAGTCTTCTACATTAATAGATAATAGTATTTCGTTCTGTACCCGTCTACCGTTCATGCTAAACGAGTTTTGTTTCCGAATCTTTGAGCAATATCCCTTAACCCTATATATATATATACGTATATATATAATATATACATATTTATATATGATATATATCTCTATTTATCTATCCCTTTATCTGTAAGCATAGTATGCAAACGAACCTTAAGACCTTAAGGGCGCACACCCGAGTTTGTCTTCTGAGTTCATCGTGTATCGCTGGCCTTCGGGCCAGTGCCTCCACAGAAGTCATTGCTAGGATCTTCTGACCACTGCACGACAAAGTAATAATCAAGTGTGTTTTTGAAGCCGTTCGTAGGTACATATGTAGGTTTCCCAAATTAGGATGCTCGGACTACTTTCCTGGAAGCAGTAGATTCGAACTGCAATCGGGAGAGCACAGCAACAGTCAGGCTGTCGTACTATTGGTGGGCATGCTGGCGGACAGCTTGGCTCCATCAAGCCATTTCCTCTTCTTGTCTTGCAGCTTGGTGGGTGGCGTGTCCATGTCCGCCATCTTCACGCCAGCTTCCACGGCTCCTTTCCAGGTATTCTTCAACCATCTTTACTGGCGGCTTCTGTTTATCCAGCTATGTTTTCATCAAGATTTCAGAGAGAGAGCGAGAGAGAGAGAGAGAGAGAGAGAGAGAGAGGGGGAGGGAGGGAGGGAGGGAGGGAGGGAGGGAGAGAGATGTGCGCATACATACACATATATTTATATATGTGTGCATATATTTGCTTGCAGCAAGCTAGCACAAAACACAGGATCTCAGAGTTTAGAACCTAGCATGAGACTCATAGACCACTCAGATCCCAAGCTCCGGAGAGACAAAGGCCTCAAACTTTTGGAGCCCAAACTCCTCAAATTGGGGTGCTCTCTACTATACGCAGAATAGGGTTTGAAAGGCAGCTTTCTCTAAACAGCTTTCAGACCAGCAGTTGGCGCATGCTTGTGCGTTGGAACCCCTCGTCCCACCTCCGCATACACATTCAACCACAAATATTACATATGGGGTTCGTTCTGCCAGTGCACTGGTCGCATTTGATAGCTTGTATCTTGCCCTACCTACACTCTTCCCTGGGAATCTGAATCGTCCCAAGTAGGTACTCTTTATGGAGCTCATGGCTTCTATGTAAGTAATGATAGACTTATAGATCACCAGGGCTAGACTGGCTAGACCCTGCCCTAAACTCTATTCTAAACACCCAAGATCCAGGTTCTCTATGGCCGTGCTGGCCGAAGATTTCTACCCGTGGCCGTCGGCTTGGCGTCTTCGGGTGCAGGGCTGGGGACCATCTTGGTCAACCTTGGGCTCCTTCCCAGAAGTTGAAGGAATCCCCCCTAAACCCTGAGAGATCCTAGATCCTATAAATCCGGCAAACGCTGAACTCTAAACCCACCAAACCCGGAATCCTTGAGAGCTTTAGGCCTTAAAGGACTTCGCGTTGGGTCCCATCCCTCTGAACCCCCTAAGGTCTGGCAAGGTTTTCCTGAGGGTCCCGAAAGTCTGCTAGTAAGGCTCCGTGGTATGGAGTCCTGTTACGGCCGCCTCCCTCTAAATCACGTCATGTAATGAGTCCAAAGTGGCCATCATAGGCGTATGCTTTACTTTGACGCACAGCCGAGTTCTGCCCAGCCGAAACTTTGGGGTTGGGGCTGGGCAAGAGGGCACCAAAGGCAAACAGGACAGCCTCAAGCTTCGTTGGCACCCTTGATGTCGCCTTGTACTGTTCAGGTGCGCTGGGTGGGGGAATGTTATGTTCAGGCCGGTTTTCCTAGGTCGCTGCTTTCAGATTAACGCGGTCAGTGCTTTCCACAGTGCATTTCAAACCTTTTCCGTGCTGCTGGCCAGGAGAGTGGCCTAACCATCATTCAGCGTATTAGGGTTCAGCAGTCCGAGAAAGCAGGCCATTCAAAGATTCGTTTCGAGAATTCGCTCGTGGTCTTCTACAACATGAGTCACCACAATCAAACACTTGAACCTTCAGTACACCCCCGGCCATGGGCTCCCGTTGGGGGAAGGCCGACACCCCATGCCTGGAACACGGCCTTGCCCGAGGCTGGACACGCTGCTGGACACCTACAGCTGGAGGGAAGCTTGGCGGATCTGCTGCGCGGCCTTCTGTCCAATGCTTTTAGGCGCCACCCTTGCACTTCGGTGGGGTCTCCGTCATCAACAGCACGAGGACAACCACTCAAACGCAGAATATCAAGAGCTGAAGAGTGGCAGCCCTGTCCGGGACTTCTTCCAGCCATTCAGGGACTGGCAATTCGTTCTGCTGAATATCGCCTTGCTCTTCTACAGCGTTGGCTTCATGGTTCCATACACGCACCTGGTTTATTATGCGGAAGCAGAGCGAGGCCTTCAAATTGCAGGAGATCTCACATCTCTTCTCGGCGGAGCTGGCACTCTTGCGCGTCTTTGCTTCGGCTTGTTCTCAGCATTTGTACCGCCGTCCCGGCTGCTGCTGGCCATGTTGGCTGTGCAGGGGGCATCTCTGATTTGGCTGCCCTTTTGCACAGGCGCTACAGAACTGAAAGCCTTTGCAGCCATCTACGGCTTCTCTTCTGGGGGCCGAGTTGTTTTGTTGTCACTGGTGCTAAATGAGCTTTTTGACCCCGAGAGGGTGGCCCACCTGTATGGCCTCGCTGGGGTGCCGATCGCTGTTGGCACTCTTCTTGGGCCTTCTCTGGCGGGACTTGTTGACTAATTGGGGTTTCTTTTTTTTTTTTTTATAAAGGTGTCCTTACAGAAAAGCTGATACACGGCTCACATTGTTTGACATGTTTCTCAAGCTCAAGGTGGGCATCGTGTACGACCTGAGTGGTAGCTACCAGAACGCCTTCTTCACAGCAGGGGCAATCGTTCTGATGGCGGTGCCAGTTTCCGGTACGCCAAGAGGTTTTTCTTTAACGTTTTCAGCTCCGAAAGAGCCATACGTGATTTTTTTGTTTTGAGCCATGCCACTTACGGGGTCCAACCAAGTAAAGCGGAACCTAACCCCACACCAGCCAGCCTCAACTTCAAAGTGTCCATGCACCCCTCCACATGCTCTCGTCCTCCCAGCTCGCCACCTCGGCACCCTTCTTTCCCGTCTGAGGATTTTCCAAAACTTGGCGTCCCTTTTTTGGGACGCGCAACAGAAGGATTATAGATTGGGGTTCATGCCGGAGCCACATGCTTATCACAATCCTAGGTCTTTGGCTTCGTGATCTTGAAGAAGAGTAAGCCGTCTTTGTCTCCCAAGCCCCAGGAGCCCTGGGCTGGTCCAGTGGCATTAGCCTCAGGGCTTATGGGTTCTTTTGGAAACAGCGGCCAGGTTTTTGATGAATTCTTTTAGGCACCCCAAGGTCTGTCTGCTGGTATTTGGGACCGTGGTCTTTGCGTAGGGCTTTGTTTTACGGGCTTTCTGCCTTGCTTCAAACAGGGTTTACAGCTAATACAGCCTTTTTGATGGGGTCGTAGGGTCTGGCATTGGGGGTTCGCATCAGGGTGAGGTGTTGGCGCTAGCTTGATCCAGCTTCGGGCAGGCTGTGGTTCAGGGTGCTTGTGGCTAGCGCAAGGCACGTGTTGAAGTCGTTTGCTAAAGTGTGCTTTCCTAATTATATTGCTTTTGCAAAGTCAGCTGCTTTGCCTGTGAAAAATCAGGGGGCTGTAATTTTGGGACATAACAAAGCAGCCCTTGGCTAAGGTTAAAAACCTGAGCTCACACCCTAAGATCCCAATCCAGGACCTTCAACTCTAAAACCTTCAAGCTTAATAGGTAGTTGAGGTATAGATCTCTACAGTGGCCGACGTTTATATAAGCTTCAATAGTACAGTAGTTTCCTTCCTGCACTCCCTACGAACAACCAGCTCGAAATCATTGCGTCTGCCTAAAATAGCCCAGTGTTCATTTTCATGTTCCAGTGGATTCTTCATTCCCTACTATCGACCATTCATCTTCAACCTACCTTATCCTTAAACCCGGTCCACTCCCTATGTAGACGTATTTGCATATATATATATACACATGCATATATAATATATAGAGTAGTTTCCATCTTGGTTTCCCACTGTATAAACCAGCAAGTAGAACCTTAAACTATCCGAAACCATAAAATACTCTTACATAACTCCATAGACCCCTATGTAATCCCCAGCTATCCCCTTCAAGCGACCCTCATTGGGGGCCGGTTGCACGCACACCCTAAACTACCCTGATAAGCCCCTAAACTCCTAAACCCTCAGATCCTAAAAACTAAGCCCCTATACCCGAAACTGTAAACCTGAACCGCCTACATCCTAAACCCCTACACCCTAAACCCTGACCCCTTAAATCCTAAATCCTAATTGGTAGCATCCCAGAAATTAGGGGACCCCAATAAAGATCCCAATATATTATGACCCTTATTATGGGAACCCCTAAAAAAGGTACCCCAAATTTTGGGAAACCCCCTGACCCTAATCCTTGTAAACGCTATATATCCCCGTATAACCCCAATATAAACCCTATGAATCCCCTTTGAACGGTATCCCTCATATTGGGGAAACCCCCATACCTGAAACTTCCTAATTGAATTCACAGGTAAACCCTAATCCCTAAACCCTAACTAACCCTTAAATCCTAATCCTTAAACCCTATATAAATCCTAGAAAGTCAGGAGGAGCTCGGGAGCCCGAGCTCAGATTGCGAGCGTGGCCGTCCACAGCGTGCAGCCTCAGACTACCTGTAGTGGCTTACTATATAGTCCCTCTTAAGTAGATAGAGGGGTATATGGGGATATTATAATATGCCCAAAGCCATATTCTATCTGCTTGAGGGGGACTATAGTGGTTTCGTGGGGATTATAGAACGTACAGAGGCTTTATTTATTGGGGTGATATAGGGATCTATAACCGTTATATAGCATTATAGGGGATGGAGTATGTAGCGTCATCTCGGGTTTACTCTCGGGTTTACATACATCATTGATCATGGAGGTTTTGGGGGCTTAGCAGTTTAGTCACAGGTGAGCACCTCAGGAGGGGTTCATATCGGGATATCTAGAGATTTAGAGGGCTGGGGGGCTAGGATCTACCGGTAACCCCAATTACCTACAGCTTAGGTGGTATTTACTGTACCTCCTAATGGGTATGTAGAATCCATAAAGCTGTAGGTAAGTGGGTTTAGAATTATACAAAGAGAGTTTGCTGGGTTTATTGTTGAGTCAGGTAGATTGCGTCCTGCCTTCATATGGAAGTGCGACTGTTGCGGGCCCAGGTCGTCAGATTCTTCACCCGCGACACCTTCCAAGTGCAGCCTTTAATTCATCGTTGCATATTGTCTTAGATTCGTGGTCTCTTTAAGCAGGGTCTCTGTTCTATAAGCAAATAGATGGGTTCTTTGTACATTAGGTCATGCACTGAACGGATAAAGAGACCAACCAGATTAGTTTAGGCTGTACATGCTAATTCATTTGGTTGTGGCTTGCGAGGTGAGACATTCCCAGAGGATCCCGAGCCCCTTGAACTCGGCAACTCAAACCTGTGTGTGTGAGGTCCATCTTCTCAAAAGGAAGCCACTGTCAACATGTGGGACATCAAGGAAATACTAAGGGCTGATATGGGGCCTTATGGTGATGTCATAAGACATGCCCTGTAGTCAGAACGATTGACTGCAGCACACAAGGTTGGAGAGAAGCCCTGATGAAATGACAAGGTCCGGGATGCTTTGGGCTCCCTCCCTCTCCTTCTCTCAACTGAGAAGATGGGATTTTCTGTGAGCTTGCCTACAGCACCGCTAGCGCAGGGCACTCTTTTTGCAGTGCGGGAGTCTCGAACCAAAGTGCTTGAATAACGACCCATAGATATGTCCAGGTATTAGGCACTTCTCCTGAGAGGTTCGCAAACTCCCATGTTAGTTTTGGAGTTAGGTCTGGTTATGGAACCAGTTTTCTTTTGCAGTTGTCCATGCTTGCTACACTGCAGGCAAAATTTGCGTGAGGAGCGTTTCTTGTCTCGTGGTGTCAGGTCTCTGTGAATTGTAACGCGCCAGCGACCAGTGTAGTTTTGACAAACGACACGACCCCCTACTGACCATGATGCTTGTTCATTCTGTTAAGGCTTCCAATTTGGGGGCTAGACGTGAATTGACTGGTTTTTAGTATCGGCAAGGGCCGCCCTTTCTAAATCCCAGGACACGATCTCCGGCCAGAAGTTCGAGGTTTCAGAGGCGGCAAAGCTCTATCAGGAGCCGGAAGCCATCTCTGCTGCCCGGTCCAGGATGCTCCCAGGATGGTAGGCAATTGTAGGCCGTAGGCAAGCGCTGGTTTGGTGGGCGTCCAAGGTTGTGGTTGAGAGTTGTATACATGTTGTTGTCGCAAGCACTTGGTAAGATTCCGGCTACCTAATCACTTGGCAATGTTCTGAGTCCGTGGCTTTCGCTTTTCTGCTTGCATAGGCTATTGCCAGGAGTTTCCATCCCATACTTGGAACGACATACCAGGCAAAGCAGCGTGGATGAGGCTTGCACCCTGAAAACTATGATGCAGGTTGGCCTGCTGCGTGAAAACTTATAGCTGGCACGGCTTCGGAAAGAGCATACATGGCCCTGTCTCGCAAGTTGATGAAGCCCCCAACCCCTAGTCTTAGATATGCTCAAGATGGGATAGTATACCACAATGGGAAGATGTATGGTTAGAGAGTAGATATCAGGAGGATTGGATCATTCAAGAGCTTGCAAAATCGCACGCTCAAGGGCTTCACGATTGAAAAGGTTGTCAAGGCGTCTGCGCCTGCGCATGCAGGATTCCATGTACCAACATCCTTACTTTCAGCGCTACCCAACCACCCAAACATGGCAGATGAGTTTCCTAGCGAGGAGAAGAGCTGCTAGTAGGAAGTGCAATGACATATCATTTGCTCCAGCACCCGTGACCAGCGTAAGAAGCAAAGAGAGCACTAGGCTTGAAGTAGTGCAGACAGGACTTTTGGCTGCCGCTTCCACGAGAGCCATTACCGCAGATGACGGATGGGCCGATCAAAGTCATCGTGGCTTTACTGGGGATTAGCGGGATTCGCTGAGATTGGGTTACATGTCGTGAAATTGAAGAGACTACATCACACAAAAATCCTCGGCGTTACAGGCAAAGGAAAATCTTCATCTTCGCATGAAAATCTTGGTGTGCGCAGCTCCGGGGCTACCCGTTAAGCTTTGAAGCCTTTCCCAGGTCTGTTTCAACGTCAAACTCTAACATGCCGGCAGTTTTAGGGGAGAAGTGTTGGGTACAGGGCAATTATACAGGTTAGCAGTCGCCACAATCCCTTAACCATGAACTTTTAATCTTTTCTCAGACTCCACAAGTTGAACTCCGCTAGCATCAGGCAATAGCAAGAACTTTTCATGATCTGTATAAACATAGAATTACATCCCTACATAACCACTACATCGCCTTTGATCTGCAGTATCCGCCAGAGCAATCCCGAAGCCGGGAGTGAGGTTGTGGAAGATCCGCTGGGTGAGCACGGGCCCCGTCCAGACGACGCGAAGGCCTGAACCTGGGAAGTTTTTGTTGGGGCTGACCTTTTGAGGACTGTTGTACCTTCACGTCATGGGTTATATTTTTGTAGGTTCTTATATACTGTAAATATACAAATAGATATAGATATTATGCATTGATGTCCATTTCGGGTGACACCTTTGGTAGGTTTTAAGGGCTTAGGAAGCATGGGTTTGGAACCCTAGGCGCGAATCTCAAAGGACTTGTCGTTCTGGATTGTCTTGTCTTCTTCTTAGGCCATGCGAGTGTTGACATCCCAAAGCTTAGGGTCTTGGATGCGAACCAGATGCCACTGATTCCCTAAACCCTAAATTAGGGCTTGATGGGGATCCTGGTTTCATTGACCTGGGGGAATGCTTTATGCGGCAATTTGCAGGTTGGCACAAACTTCCCCGCAAAGTCGTATATGTGAACAAGCTCGAGGTTCAGACTTCCCCTTACTGTGCACAGCCGCCAGGCAAAGTTTGATCTTTCCTCTGAATGTCTTGTGGCGGGAGAGGTAATGGCCATCATAGGAAGGAACATGGGGATTCTGTTGGGATAATGGAAAATAAAATGAAAACTACTATTTAAGGTTATATAAGTGGCTATATAGGAAAAATGTATATATGTATATATGTAGGCATGAAACCTAAACCCTAAACCCTGAACCGTAAGGGGCTACATAGGGATATATAATGAGTTGAAACCTAAGACTTCAAGCCTGGAAGCACCCGGAACAGCACCCGTGCCAGCCAGTAGCCCAGCCGTCCCTACAGCGCGAAATCTTTGGGTCGCCCCTGTCTCAGAGTTCGCGTATAATATGTGGCATCTTGAGAACTTTAGGATGCTCTCGCAGAAGCCCCTGCTTTTCCGGCCTTCTCTGAAGGCTCCGGTTCAGGAATCACCCTTCCCTGTCCCGAACCCTTAGTTGTGTGCTTGACCCAGGCAGACAGGTCACGCTTCCCTGCGCAGGAGTTTGTGGAGGCCTGGGCGCCATACCTCAAATGGCCAGAGCCGTCACAAGTACACAAATATATGTGTGCATATAAACAGTTATATATATATATAGGGATGCATGTATATGATACACACCCCACATACTTCTTTTGATGTACGAAAGCTGCCAATGGGGTAAGGGTTCTGAGGTGGGTAGAAGGTACAGGTACTGGAAACAAGGACCAGCATGTATGGAATCCTACAGGTCCACTATTCTTGTTATTATTACTACTGTTATTATCATTATCATTATCAATATCATTATCTCCTTTATTATTATGATTTACTATGATTATTACTGGTCCTGTTAAGATTCTTAAGCCAAATAGTTTGCCACCGCAAGCCCAGGATTCTTCATGCTTCAACCACCCCCGACACGTCAAGCCTAAGCGGAGCAGTTCGTGGCATGGCAGGTGTGCGAGAAGCGGCTGGATGCCTACAGGACCGTCTGTTGGCAGGGCAGTTGATTAGGTAGAAAGCCTGTGACCACCCCTAAAACCTAAGGCTGGAGTTCAAGTGGGGGCTCTGACATGACATGGGCTTCTTCGCTTAATTACAAAGCTTAAACTCGCCACGGTCTGTCAGAAGCCTGAAGAGCTCCTTGTCGTAGCCTGCCGAACACCTGAAGAGCAGCTATATAAATATGATGTGAGCCCAGAGGAGTCCAGTGGCGCTTTCAGCAGTAACAACATTTGAAGCAGATACATGACCCCACGAGCATCCGAAACAAACGCTGCCGGAAAAGCCCAATACCCCTTGACAAGGGGATGCGTTCGTCAGTGCACACGTCACTTACATTTTGACCTGATTCAGAGAATATGTATGCATTGGCATTGACTACGGGTTTGCGGGCTTTCTGCGCCTACACAGTCCTACAGACTGCTAGCATGGCCTTTCGCCGGAAGGTCGCTGCCATTCAATCCCATGGTCCATCAACCCCAAACTCATGCCTGCAATTACCCCTACCCCTCCCCCTCAACAGCCTACCACATAAGACCTACAGCCCTGAAGCTCAAAAGCCTAAGCCCGGAACCCTACGAAGGAAAGTCACTGCCCTGACCGTCAGCGACTTTGCTTCGGCGCTGCCTGGCATGGACGTCACATCAGCAACTGGGACGGTATGTGGGGCGTCTCGGGTTTTTCTGATCCTGTTCGAAAGGTCGCAGGGAGTAAACTCAATAGAGAGGTCTTGTAGGAAGCTTCCAACTGTCAAGGGTTTGTATTCATATGTAATATATATATATACATATATGTATATATATATATGGCTTAGGCCTTTGGGCTCTGCCTGCAGGATGTGGCGTTCAAATGCTTCCAAGGATTCGCAAAACTTCTGGATGGACAACAAGAGGATTGTATATTCATGTTGCTTGATATTGGGATGGATCAGGGTGTTGTTTGTCCAAGGTTCCCTTTCTCAAGCTATCAAGCCGGTATGATGTCATTCCTTCACGGTCAATCCTCCATTGACTAGTCTATGCCATGGATATCCTTTGAAATCCTCAAGTGTGCCTGCAAGATCGACCGTTCAACAAGTTGCAAGCTAGCTCCATGCCGCTCCCAGCAGCAAACCCTCTCTTCCTCTGGCGGAGGTGAGCTTCAGCTCCAACCTAAATCCTAGGAACTTTGCTTGCTCTATTATCCTTACCTAGAGCTACCAGTACTACCAATGACCAGCCCGCAGATTCAATCCCTAAACCTGACTCCAGTAGCGCAGAGGTGACCTACCCTTCCGAGTTGAAACGCCTGGCCTGGCATCCGGCAGTCACCGCTCGGGATGCCTCCGTGGCCTATGCAGCCGCTGGGCTTCAAGAGCCCGTCTCAAAAGGGAGCGGATCGGGAGTTATGATGCAGGAGCTCTTGAGGAGACCGGAGAGCCCTTTGTCGGGGGAGACGAGAACTAAAGGAGTCGGGTTTATGATGTATAGTAGGTCTTCGTGAGGCTCGTGGCGCTTTACTAGCAGCAGCATCCTTATGGAGTAGTGCGAGGTGCTAGTCTTGTATACTGTTTGGAGTTGAATGTTCAAAGAGTTCGGGACTAGGGGTGTCGTGGGGCGCAAACGTTTCCTATCTTCTTGCAAAGTGTTGCAGGCAGAGTGCGTTTGGTCGGCAGCCCAAGCATATAGTCGTCGCGAGAACGTCATTGAAGATAGCCCAGCAATGCCCAGTCATTTGCGCACTACGGCATGGACCACTTAGTGCTGTGCAGGCACTTGACTAAACCTGTAATTGCGCTTGCTTTAGAGCACCCACATTTCAAACCTGAAATCTCTTCGGCTTCGTGGACTGGGCTGGACTGCCCAAGCCACATAGATGGAGCAGAGCCCAGGGCCAACGTAAAATCAGATTGGAACATGAGGTTGGCGCAGGACGCAGTCGATGGCTGCAAGCAGAGGACCACCACGCTTTTCGCTTGGGAGCGCCTTGAGGTCAGGACCTTTCAGAGTCAAAGCCCTAGACCCACAACCATAAGCGGAGGTGCAGCTGAGGCTGTCTTTGGGCCTCTGAAGCAATGAACCCAGGTGAGGCTGTGGCCTTTTTGCGACCAAGGGACGCAACGAATAAGAGTTCAGGCTTGTAGGACTTCTGCCGGTAAGGTTTGCCTCCTCTTCGCCATGTGAAAACTCCTCCATAATGGAAAGAAGCCTTGCTCTGCAATCCCTATGTATTGCAGGAGAATATCCCAGGATTGCTGAGGGGCCTGAGGGTCCAAGTACCCTATGCCCATATATTGACCCCAAGAGCTATACAATAACTCCTATATTGTATGCTAGGACCCACCGAAACGGGTCCATAGCAAACGGGGCCAAACCTTATGAACCCTAATCTAAACCCAACTTCCATGTCATTTACCATTGTTTGGTTCTCCATTATAAGCCTATGTTTTAAGCCCTACGTATCTCCATGGAACCCTTATCCTTCCCCCCAGCGTACTGGGTGATCATGTAGGCCTCTTTATTTAGCCGTCATGAAGACTGAGGGCTTCCTTCCTTCGGCCTGGTCCTCATCTTGGCCAGAATATCTTGGTCTGACGATCCTGCAAAGCCTCCATGTTGTTTGATTTGCTAAAGGGCTTCATGAACAGAAAACCCTCAGGTAAGAACAGTGGACCCCTTTGTAGAAGGCAAACCAAATTTGCAAGTAGTTGGTCCTTACAGCTGAAAGCTTGAACCCTCTGCATGCATGAAGCCTGAAACGCAAACAGCGAAGCCATTCTTCAAGCTCGACGGCCGAGCAGACCCACAGCTTGACTCCTTGAGGTTGAAGCTGAAGCCTTCTCTAGAGCTTGAATCCTGTTCCTAAAGCTCCGCCACGTGAAGCGTGTAAGTCTCTATTGCAAGTTTCATGCGGGACCATGAGTGAGGTTTCAACTTACTTGGCTTGGTTTAGAACTAGTCAAAACCATGATTATCCTACTTATATCACTTATCACTGCCATCTAACTACTCACGAAACCGTAAGTGCTGGGGAGAGCACAGGATGAGATTGTGGCTCCGTGGTCAGAGCTCATGCCATTGATGGAGCAGCTGCAGGACATGAGGTTTGGAAGGTAAAGTTGGGAGCCCCCATAACGAAGACTCATATTCAGATATTGGAAAAATGGAAACTACTAGAGGTAGTATTCGGGGCATATATTGAGGTTATATTGGAGTTATATTGGGACAGTGGAAAAGAAAATGGAAATTACTATAGCCCATTTCTGTTTTTTCTTGCGAAGCAAGGACATGGTGAGGATTTGTTGAGCCTTGAGGGGTTTAACGATTAGGTGCCTGGAGTTTCCATGATATGTTCTCAGCGTTAAATTTGGGAACCCAACACAGCCCCACAAGCCACGCTATAACATACAACAGTGATGCCTGCAGTCTTTCAAATGCCATGTGATTTTACAGGATGGTTGGGGACACAGCGGGGCTTTGTCAGTATCTTGGCGCATAGTGGCCCATCCTGGTGAAGCAGTAATAGTGGCTGGCACAAGTCCGGGCACAAGTCTGCGGGCTTAAAGCTAATTCGCTAAGTCCCTCTATACTCAAGTAGAAGTGGAATCTTGATGAGCAGGTTAGCTCTGTATATGCAAGTGACGCAAGGCTAGGTGCAACCCAAGTTGTCCATTTTGCTGTCTAGCTTGTGCCAGCATGTCATCTATACGGAACCGGCCCTCGTGAATCAACCCCCTCCCCAAACGAAGATAAAACCCCGAAAGCTTTTTCAAAACTAGCCAGCCTCATTTTGTGCGGAGCTTCAGACGAATTAGTTCAGGGGAGGGTAAGTCTTTGAAGCGGAAGAATGTTGCCGTTGAAGGCTGGTAGATTTCATCAACTTTCGGCCAGGATTGAGGTCGTGCAACGTTAGAAGAACAATGTGCTGCACAGCTCAACATGCCATCGGGATACATGAGTTTCATATAAGCCAACGCGAGAACGGTGAATATCTCAGCTGGGACGACTGCAGGCAGATCCCGCAAGCAATCCCTAAACCTTTTGCATGAGCCCTACCTTTCATTCATACCGTGAAGCTCTGAAGGCCCCAATATTGCAATCCAATATGATTGTTCAACAAGCAAACAAGCAACACTCCAACAATCGGGAGCCCGTTGGCGACGGGTGTTTGTGCTTGTATGAGGATCTGGAGTTCTTCTACATGGCCATAATCTAAACTCCTCAAAGGGGGACTACTATAGGGGTTATTAAGGATGATACTAGGAAATTGGCAACAGGAGGGGGCAAGCCCAGAGGTCTTCCAACATCAGCTTGCATGGGAGTTGCCCTGTATCATCTCTCAAGGAGATCTTAAGAATACCTACATAATCCCTTGATATCCTTAGGGCCTTAGGATCCCTTATAGGTCCCTATTTTTGAGAAACTCCCAAATCTGAAGGCCCCTCAGAAGTAGTAACAGAATGATAATATTGTAACTGTATCATAGTACCACCATATCATAGTAGTAACAATAGTACTAATAATAATGATAATAGCAATAGTAGTAATCATAGTACTAGTACCTTGGAGGAATCATTGTCGATTCTTCCGGCAGACAATGTGGCCTTGGTCGGCCTAGGCCTGGGTCTGCTTCTGGCTAAGATCGAGAAACTAAGATCCCCCTTGGTGTAGGGTTTAGGCCTCCAAAATATTATCTATTTTTAGGCTTCATAATCCCAATAACAACCAAAAATATGATGTCTAGTGGGGTTCTGAGGCCGGCTTGAGGGTACATACATTCTACTCAGTAAAGCGTACATTGCTGAAGGGTGTCTAGGCAAAGCCTGGAGGTTTCAGGTTTCAGGGCTTATCTTTTGATGTGTTTTATGTGTTGGGTTCCCCCGGTGGCAATGAGTACTGGAGAGAGGCTTGTAAGAATCGCGACATTTTCTATAGATATGTAGATATAGATAGAGTTCGGGAATTGAAATGAGGCGTTACACATCATTGGCAGTTCACTGTTTGAGTGAGGGCTGTCATGTTCAGGACTCTCGGTGATAATTCTATTATGTTTCTTCACCTGACCTCAAGCGTCAAGTACGGCAGGCGGCCTGAATAACAGGGTTGAAGGCGCCTTATGTGTTACTTGCATCTGGCTTACAACGAATGTTTTTGTTATTGCAATTCTTCTGTCCATCCCTTTCAAGACAGGTACCGGCGCTCACGTCGCACTTGCTCTGGCTTACTCCCTCGTCGAGAAGCGTGGGATCATCCCAGCACCATGATCCAACAGTGGGAGCATTGGGGTATAGTATATAGGGGCTATATAGGGATAATGGAAAAGAAAATGGAAACCCTAGGTCCCCTTAAAGGGATATATAGGGGTTTTGTAGGGATAATATAGGGATAATGGAAAAGAAAATGGAAACTACTGTAATGGGTTATATATTATACTGAGGTGAAGGCCAAACATCCGTACCGCAACTGTTTGGTGCGGGGGTACATAGGGTATTCCGCTCTGTGCCGTGTCTGCTGTGATTTGGCAGTAGTCGGCCATAAACTTCAGCTGTCTGTGTCAAGTCTCGCCTATAACTTTTCATGTTGTCTTGGCTCATGAGGGTGCTGTCAGATAAATTGTAATTACACGATCCCTGCGTATTGCCATGCTGGGCGTGTTTGCAGTTAAGTTATGTTCAGTCCAGATGCTGGATTTGTCCCTCCATTTGCCGTTTTCTAGCAGAGGCTCTTTCTCGGAAAGTGTGATGCAGATCCCAGCAATGAGGTATAGAATTCTCCAGTAGACGGAGTCCCCATAATAAGCACTGTAGTAGTACGGGGTCTATATTGGGGTCCCCCTATTAGGACTATAGTTTTTTGGGATCTATTTTGGTGTCCCCCTATTTGGGAAAATACACCTTCGCGAATTTGGTGACCACCTTCAGGCACGCCTCTACGCCGCAGCCTGGCAGCGTTTGGATAGTCATCTTGATGGTGGTCAGCAGGGAATATATGACACAGGGATTGCTTGGGGTTCATATTCCCTTACTCCCTGGAAACCACCAGCAAGTCATAGTCCTATAGGTTCTATAGGTTGATGTGGTAGGCTTTGGATTCGTCCGAGTTGGTGTAAGACTCTGCAGATGTGATGCGGGCGCCTTGCCACCTTCTATGGAGCAAGTAGTGAAGGGCTAATGGAAACAAATTGAATGAAGCAACTGCTGATCCCCATTTGAGGACCTGAGGACCTGATTTGTTCTTGGCACAGACAACTTGCAGCTCTGAAATGAGTTGCAACAGCCGGCCTGCCTGTCCTAACCTCGCCCAGCCATTCACTCAAAAGCCTGGCCCCCAGGCGTGAGAATACTGCAAAGAATCCTTCAACCGCACAAGACCCAGCATGAAGGCAGCTACGGCTTCAGGCGTGGACATTTAAAGGACAAACGTCAAAGCCAGTCCGGAAGGAGTCTGAGCAGATATTTCGCTCCTGATTAGTCAAAACCTTCGACCAAAACCCTGTTGACCTCTCTCGAAGCCTCCAGACCCCCATGCCCTGCAGCTAACGCTGATGTCAGCTGCTGTCTGCAGAAGAACCCCGCTGAGATCCCCATCCCCACCTCCCTGATCCTATGACTTACTAGGGGTCAGTAGGGAATAAGGGAATGCGTCATTATATTCCTGGATTTCCTACTCACCACCAGTAAGATGAGCACTATACATGTTCGAGGTGTGCCCACCCACAGTTTGGCCCGTGGCAGATGCTCCGCCGGCAGGCACCGAGCCTTTGCCTCCGCTCAACATGGACCTGGACAGTTTATAGAGCACTCTATACGCAATTCACCCAAGCTCTTTAGTCTTTCCCAGGAACCCCAAGGTTTTGACGAAGTCCTGGGTCAGAAATGACAATGACATTGCTGGCAACGTTAAGGCTTGTTGCTAGCCAGGCGCGCTCGTGACGACCCCGATCCGCAGCCTGGCATCGCGAAAAGACAAGGTTTGTATTCCGAATCGAATCCATCAAGAATCCTCAAACTCAGCTCTATAAACCCAAAAGCAGGCATTGGCATGTAAAGATGTTACAGGCCAGGCGGGAGCGAAAATCCCTAATCCTTGTAAACCCTTGATGCCGCTTCCTAGTCTTGGGTCGGCTTTAGTCGCATGGTAATGCCTACTGCCCGGGTGCACTGCCTGGAGAGCAGGATTTCGGATTTTTTCTGCCTGCAGTGCGATTTGCTAATGAAATCGGTGGAGGGTTTTGGGCTCAGGGGTTTAGATTTTAAGGGGGGCGGGGGGCTAGAAGCCTTCTACAAGTTTTACCTGTGGCCCCAATTACCTGCAGTCTATGAACATATGCACATACAGATTTTGCACGTAAACATATATACATATATATATATACATTATATGGTTTTCCAAAAATTAGGTGTACCTTTTTGGGGGTTCCCTTAATAAGGACTACTATAGTATTCAGGGATCTACATTGGGGCACCCGTATTGTGGGAAACTACCACATAGATAAAAATGTAAATAGATCTACATTTATATACATATATGTACAGATATCCTTTTTTATCCCTACGTATGTACACCATCTGCCTCTGAGGCTACCTGACCTGCCCGGAGTCTGTAGCTGGCCCACCTTGGCGTCTCGTAGCCTGGCATGGTCGAGCTTGGCTACTGGAGGTTAGGGTTAAGGCTTTAGGGATTCCATACCCAGAGGGTCCAAGTACCTAATAATTAGGCCCCTTTTAAAGGGGATATAGAGGGGTATATAGGGCTTAGGGTTTAGGGTCCGAGCATCTAATCATTAGGTAGTTAGGTTTTGGGTAATAGAAATTGCAGTACGGGTCTTGGGTAAGTATAGATAATTAGGTACATGGATCTTTGGGGATAGGGGTTATATGAGCGATAGTCTAAGCTCCTTAAAGGGGGTTATATAGTCGATCAGGATGTCCCGGGCTGCATAACATTGCGACTAAACTAAACAAGGGTTACATGGGGCATAAAGGTTTTGAGCATAGTGAAATTCGGAAACGACGTGGAAAGGGTTTAGGGTTTCGGATTTATTTACATTGCCACCGCAGGGGGTGAAATATTAAAGGCGTCCATCCCACTCAGCCCACTTGACCCACTCGCCAATGTGGGGCGAGTGGGGCAAGCGGGTCAAGTGGGGCAATGGAGCAAGTGGGCTGAGTGGGGTAAGTCGGGCCAGTGGGGCGAGTGGGCTTGACCCACTTGACCCTTGACCCATTTGACCCATTTGACCCACTTGCCCAAGTGGGAGTTGAAGGGGCCAACATTGTGAGGGGAGAAGTGGGGCAGGAAGCGGGTCAAGTGAGTCAAGTGGGGCAACTGGGTCAAGTGGTGCAAGTGGGTCAAGTGGGGCAAGCAGGGCAAGTGGCCTTGGACCCTTAACGTCCCTCCAACGCCGACACTTTTTTTTGTTTTAAGTTGGTTTTGCTTAAAAAGAGAACAATAATGAAGAGTTTCATGGACAACAAATGGACAGTGAATGGAAGCTGGGGCTATAGAGATCTATAGAAGTGCTACATAGGGCTACCAACGATCGAGAATCAAAAGGACAAGAAATCACATATCAAATGGAAACGAGGCGAGATAACAATACCCAAAATAGGAAAATGGGTTTGGAATTTGTTGGGCCTAAACAATTACTGTTTTCCAGAACCATAGGGAAGACAGTGGAGATGGACACCAGGATTATAAGAGGCCTTACGACTTTCTTGCTGGTGGTTGGTTAGTCGAGAACCCAGAAGTTGGTTACGGTCTACTAGCGATTACTATATAGTGTTCCGTTCCTTACCAGCACCAAGGTCATGGTGATGCAAGGAGTCGTCGGAGCGGATATAAAATTCTCAGCATATTGAAACTAAAGGTCATGCTCCGTGCAGTATGAAAACCGGCGTTTAGTGGGAAATAGAGTTCCTTTAGAAGTGCGGCACCCTTAACACTGGAATTTAAAACCTGCAACACGAAAACCTAAACACATTAAGTCTTAGCTGACCCTCACAAACAGTCAGCACAATAGCCCTTACAGTTAAGCCACAATAGGGTGTTACTACAGGTAGTTGGGATGCAGACCACACTATTGCAGTGTCCGAGGAGACGTCCACTTTTGGGGATTTCCGGCATCAACACTTCGAGGCGCAGGGTCAGTCACGAGCTAGTTCTCGGGCCCATCAAGGGGTTGGTAGGGTCTATATAGGGCTTGTGCTTGTATGAAGGAAAGGAAGGTAACTGGAAGCTACAATTCGATTTAGAGAGTAGGTTTGGGGCTAATGTTTGCACCCTTCAGCCACGTCTCACTATCAGGGATTCCCAATAAGAATATCATAGCATGAGGGGGTGGAGGAGTTAGTGTTAGTAGGGAATTCGCGCAAGGTGGAGGCTTAAGGGTGTTGAGTCGGGGGGTTTAGGGCTTCTTACTTAGAGTTGTGGGGTGATGTTTCAGGTGAAGGTATTCGGGAAAATACCTAAGTTAGCCAAGCTGGAAGCTGCAGTGCCTGCAGTCGTGTAGGTTATATACACTTCAGTTTAAGGCAACTAAGGCCTTGTCTGGAAGCTAAGCGTTCATGCTTAGTCGTTGGAGAGCTCAGGATTGAGGGTTGCGAGGGTTCGAGTGCTGCCTCCGGTAAGAGATTGGGATCTGAGATTGGGTATGACGTTTGGTGGAGAGGTGTATTGCTTCCGCCGAAGTAGATTCTGCTTTGTCTCACTAAGGTTTCGGCGATTGAAACAGAACAGTTGCATAGGCCCTGTCGAGTTCCGATTTTGTCGGGGCTAGATCAGCTAAGACCACTTGTGCAGTTGCCTTGTGCCCACAATGCCTGTCAGAGGCCTTTGTAGAAGCCCAAGCCAGACATTGACCAAGCAGAGCTGAATTCCTTTAGGGCATACTTAAGGGCGCTATAGCCAGTGATTGCGACACATGGCTCGCATTCAGGGCGCCTATCTATTTTGAACGCATAGAGAGACCTACACGAGCCCCATCGCGGAAGGCGGTTCCATCTCAAGACGCCATAGGCCCTGGCAAATTCCTTGCATGATCTCCCTGTCTGTCCAGGATCAAGCATCGGTGATTAAGCTGATCGCTGACGATTTGTCGAAGCTGACGACATAGCTTAAACATTTGTGGTGTTGAGAAAAAGTTTGGCCCCCATGCACAGACGGTGCACCGACGGAATTGTGGGTGAAATGCGCCTTAGTGCAGTTGGCCATTCATGGAACTCGCCCGGCCCCAGCTACATTGTCAAGGCGCACAGGAGCGCTATTTTGTCACCTAAAACGGCTATGTTTCAAGACAATTCCCAAGAGCTTTTGATAAGGACCCTTAGAGTCCCTCATCACTAGGAGTCCTGAGTGCCCTCAATTTTTTGCGAAAATTGAGAATTGCCTGAGGACTCAGCTTTTTGATTTTGGCCCTGGGCTTGGACCGGTACGTAGGCCTGGGTTCGGAGGATGTTGAGGGGGCCCAAAATCGAATCCCAAAGTTGGACATGGGCCCTACAACTTTCCAGCCCCTTCTTTGGTGATCGTTTTGCGGCCCCCTCTTTTAACTCCAGGCAATAGGTTTGCTTATAGATTTATTTCGTGATGTGTGTAGGCTCTCGCGGTAAGTAAGCCTTCAACTTGAAGCCTTCAACTTGCAGCAACAAAAGATCCGAGAGAAATCCTTCCCCTGCAAAACCCTCCTGCCAGACTAGTAGATATCGTGTAGAACCGCCATCTTATATGAGCTATACTGTCAATGTTAGGTTACCAAAGGACCACAAAGAGGGGACGCAAGGGCCCCCTCGGTAGGTAGAGACAACCCCTGATAACATATGCCCTAATCAGGACCTACAAAGGAATATTGATTTTAGCACATATGTGTTAATACCGTCTATCTCTACAGTTCCTGTTTGGATAGAAACCATGAAGACGGGGTAGGCGGCAGCAAATAGTTGGGCAAAAGGATGGAGAGACTTCAGAGGAGATGCCAACAGATGTTGAAGGGCCACTATGGCACTTCTTTGGAGGGCTTGGAGCATGAGATTTGGCTGGTTGCAGCCTCTATGCATAGATGGTACAGAAGGTGCTTAACATCAAAATTGTCTGGCCATTGAGCGCAGTTGCGGAAGCAACAGAAACCAGTATCTGAAGCCTGCGAATGCCGCGACATAATTATTTAACATGCATCGTGTATGAGGTTGTTTGCAGAGCCCGACATCAAGCCACCTATTGCCACCTTCACCTGGCGCATGTTGAAGGCCGTTGCCATGAGAGAGAAGCAGCGTTTAATCGCACATTGCCACAAGCGCAGAAAAAAGCTGCACCGCTCGAATGTGTTGCAACGAGCTCTTGGCTCCTTGGGAACCTACAAGGAAGCCTTGAATTCTGGATTCCTGCGCAACCCCCCGAACATATCCTGCGTATGGATGTAGAAGCCTTCGTATTAGGGACATTACACGAAAATAATCCTTTCAATGACTGTAGTGCTTGATGCCTCCACCACCTATCTTACTTTAGAACTATGACCGCGAAGACCTTAGATTGCATGAGTTCTGGACAGCACCCTCAGCCAGAAACTGCTGCTATCTGGGGAAAAGATGCCCCTGTCTTCAAATCCCGCATTCCTAGCGCATTCCTAGACTGCGTGCACTCACGTGTTAGACAGTCTCTTTCGATAAGTTCTAGATACCCTTATGTAGCCCTCATTGTAGGAATCCCCTGTCCAGGGAGTGCCTCCATGAAATGCTGCGTAAAGCCCCCCCCCCCCTCCCTTTTCAGAGCTAAGGTGGAGTTTGTCTTCCGCGACGGCAGCCACCCCCAGGTCCCCGTGGGCTGTTACTTTGGGTTCAGGAATGCGTGTTCAGGAAGCTGGGGGTTTGTCGAAGGGGGCTACTTCTGGGTATCCCAAGGTTTCGAAGAAGTCCGAGAAGTATTCGGCTTTCAATTCATTGCTGGGACCGCTTCCAGCCTCAAAGCTGGCTTGCACCTAGCCGGTGAAGTGGCCAAAGGATCGGATGGGTTATAAAATTTGTTGCCAACTTGGCAGCCGTCTGTCTTGGTCACGTTTCAGCGTCAGTTGCTCCAGAAATCCATCTGAGCAAAAGTCGAAGAAGTGAAGAGGCCGCTGTCCAGTTGTCAAGCTGCGCTCCCTCCCCCCAAAATAGGGGCTGAAAGTTCACTCGCAAAAAATGCAAGTGTGGGAAGCACTTGGTATTGAAATCTACAACCCTTGATGATCCTTCAGACCCAGCCTTGAGCACATTGCGGGAGATCCTTTCTGCACGAATGGTGAAGATGAAGCCGCTTGTGCAAAAGACGGCAGACTACGGTGGATACTAAAAATCCTGCATGACCCTAAGTACCTTCTACCTTGGAAATTATGGTACTATATTATATTAAGGTCATGCAGGATTCAACAGTAGGAAAGCTGAAGGGAAGTGGGAGGGTTCCAGACATTGGGGCTCGCTTTTGAGGGTTCCTCTCATGAGGATATAGTCCTTTGGGATCTATATTCGGGCCCCATGTATGGAGCCTACCAAGTGTGAGAGATAGGTGGCCTACAACGAACCTGCATAAGTTTGGGCATACCAAGGGTTAGCAGGCAGTTTAAAAGGCTTTACTCCCCACAACCCACCTGCCTGGAAAGCATGAAGTCTTGTCATGAGCTATGCATTTGACTTCTGGAAAGTACATGTACATGCCTCTAACTGCCAGATAAGCCGCAATCCGACGCCCCAAAACCTGAAGCCCAAGGCGTTAGAAGACCGGTCATACGTTGGAAGCCCAAATATCTAGACTCCAATATCTTATCTCCTTATATACAGGGAGTGCCAAAAGGGTCCTCCTAAATTTTGGACCCCCTTCCTTCCATGAAAGCAGAAGCAAAAAAAAAAACGCCAGGGCCACGGTCGATCGCCTGCACACAGCCGCAGCAGCCAACAAAAGAATGACCGCCCGGAACCCCGGGGGGCTGGCGAGATGGGGCGACTCAGGGTTATACATGGGATATATAGGCCCCTTTAAAAGAGTTATACACAAGGATAGATTTGGTTTAGGCATACTACCCAAGTGCTGAAGAACCAAATGGACAAGAATGTCACGCATGAAATGGAAGCTGGGACGCTATTATTGTGTTTATAACGATTCGTGTCTAGATGGAAGGTTGTCCAAAATCTGGTTCCATTCAGGTTCCCCAATACATTAGCAGCCGAATTTTATTGGGGACTAAAGCTTGCAGACCCCACCACGTGGAGGGGCTTCTTTGTTGACCCTGGCTTCCTTCATGCAGTGTCTAGTAAGTCGCGCATTTCCCTTCACTTTGGCGTTGTAGGCAAGCCCCATGCCGCTACGCCATTTAGACACATGTAACGAAGGATCATGCCAAGATAGTGAGGCCCTAGAGGTGTGCGGCCCCCCTAGTTTGGGAAACTACCATGTAAGGATCCAGGGGTCCGCTTGTAGTGTCTGAAAGTGTTGTGTTTGGAGATAGAGAAGCCAAGACTGTGCAAGTATCGTGGAGGGAAATCCACTTACAAAATCTCCGGTCTTCTCCAAAGGCTTGGTTTGAAGGCTACTTTGAGAGGTCAGGTTGAAAATTCGAGGGGGGATCGATTTCCTAGGGGCCTCTCATGGCGGGGGACGACCATGAAAGCTCTGACATGAACGCTCAGCTGTATTTTCACGGTATTAAATTGACTCTTGGAGCAAGTGGCATTGTGTGGCTGAAAAGGGCTCGCGAAGGTCGAGGTACGATCAGGTGCCCTGGAGCAACAACCGATACCAAAATAGATGGACACCCGAGGCACACACGGCGGACTCACATGCTTAAGTGCGATGGTGCCCCCAAGCCTCTAGTCGCAAGCATGACGAGAGTGTATCCCCCGAGTTGTTGCAGGCCACGCTTTGGAAACTGCGGAGTACCTCATCGCCGTCACACAGGAGGAGGGGAGCAGCCCCAACCTCAGCAGATAGCGACGCTCGTGGAGTGTGCAAGTACTCATTTTCTTGTTGCTTGCCCCGAAAGAGGATAAGGGTTGCAGACTGGCTATCCAGAGTTTGGGTCTGGGGGCTTTGGAAACCGCGGCCTAATGAGAAACTCCTATGCAGCAAAGGGTGTTCCATTTTTGTTTTCCACTTTCTTTTCCATTTCGTTG